GGGGGGGGTCCATCCACGTGTCAACTACCTTTTTCATCACCTATGTAGGCCATCGCCTTAGAAAAATAAACGACATGATTAGGGTCATGACGGAGAAGAAAGAGACACTCATTTCATTGATCCATTTGCTGGGTTTTCGGCCGTCTCAATCAACCCCCCCCTTTTTTTTGTCTAATTTTTCCCTGAAATGCACTCAGAGGAAAATGTTATCTCGTTTCCTGCACACAGTGTAGATGATGACGACGTAATATTTCATCATCGTGATTATCGCCCTACAACAGACCAAAGTACAGTAAAGTTCCTCCCCGCTCTGACTCTACTTTTATGACCTGTATTGGCCATCGCCCCAGAAAAAAATAAATAAATGACACGAGTACTGGCGGGTGGCGGCAACGCCGGTAGTGTTGCGGGGGGCCGCGATGCATATGCATTGAACTTCCCTGCCGCGGCCCGCGGCCCGTCCCTACCGTACACCTGGCCCCGACCCCAACCGCAGTGCGGCCTCGACCGTGACCAGCGGCCAAGCGTTTGACAGAGTGAGGGAAGTGCCCAGCGTGGGGGGGGGGGGGGGGGCATATGTGCCCGAACGCTCGGGCGGGATTTGCGGGCTTTCGCTTTCAAGGCGTACGAGGACGCGGCGGCGGCGCGGGCGGCGGGGATGTCCCGGCGTGCCGGTGGCTGACGCCCATCACGTACGCGCGCGCCTTATCAATACAACTCCTCGCACAAGTAGTCTCGGCAATCGATCAATGCATGTCTCTGACGCGGATAATCTCTGCGCGATCCTCTCACCCGCAACTCTGGAGCGCGCAGGTGAGACTGTTGCTACTTTGTCTTGCTCTCGAGATTCGCGTAACACAGCGGAAAATATTTCTCACCCCTCGCGAGATATTCGTTCGAATATCCAAGAAATGGCTGGTTCCGAGAGAAAATGACGACCGAGTTAGTGTCCGAATTTGGTATGGTTCAACTCGGGTTATCAGTACGCCAGGGACTGGAAAAGAGGAGGGGGGAGGAGGAAATCAGCCTGGGTCTGTCGCTTGGTCAAAGCCTATGGTCGCGGCGGCGCGACTGCCCGCCCGCCACGCTTGGGCTTTGTGGCCCGACAGCGCGGGCACATAAGTACCTCGCCGCAATCCGCGGGGAATCACTTGACGTTTCGACGCGCTGCCATCACCATGGTGAGTCCACGACTCGCATCGAATCTCTTTGAGTACACGCCGCGTTGTGATCAGGCGCGGATTAAGGGGGAGGGGGCGGGGGGGCGATCGCCCCCCCCCCCTGTCGTCTGTAGAGAGCCGCCTGAAAGGTAGGCACTTTGCGCCATAAAACCCCTGTATGTAGGCAACCGACAGTGCACCCCCCCCCCCCTGTCAGCCGGACCTTAATCCGCCACTGGTTGTGATCTCGTAGTTCTTGAAGTGTCGGCCGGCCCGGCCCGCCCGCCGTCCCATGGACCATTGTTTCAAGGAAAGACGTCAAAGGGAACAGAGGTTGAGGTTTTCGAAACCAGCTATAAACGGTGACAACTCCTTACAAGCCGATGTCGAGGCAGCTATTGTCCGTCCATCATGGGGCCATATCCCATGCTATTCCCTCATCATAGCCAGGTGTTTTAATGAGTGATTTTAGCGGTTAGAAGAACAAGAAGAAGTTCCAAGATGGCCGCCACGGACCACAACAAACATTCAACTGTTTTCCCGAGCAG